GAGGGGATGGTGAGAGTGCATGGAGGCAGGACCAGGGCACCCAGTGGAGGCAGAGGTTTCCAAAAACAGGAGAGCCAGGGAGCCTGCAGGGAAGAGGAGAGCGGGGCAGGGTGAAGGCAGTGTGGGACTCTTGCCCATCCCCACTGTCTGGCCTATGACCTGCAGGTGGGGGCCAGAGTGCCCCCAAAGCATGAGCTCTTCTTCAGGTCCATCATTCCTGCCAATGGCCACCAGGCTCCCCTCAGTCCTGGTGCAAATAAAAGCACCAATGGCTCATACTTGGGTATACAACCAGATAGCCACAAAGCCTGCTTAAGTCACCAACCCTCCATGTGGGTGTACACAGGGAGTGGGCTTTAGATCCCTATGTCCCTTCCAGCTCTGATGTCCTCTGGAGCCTTGAGTATAGCCTCAAAACAACATGGGTGACCAGAGCAGCTGCATTTGAGCAGAAGCCTCACCTATGTGGTGCTCACCCTGGGAAGCACACACAGGGCTTTGGCTTGGAAAGGCCACTAGGCAGGATGCTGACAGTGGTGCTGTGTTAAAGCTGAGTGTGTGTGGAACTTCTGGAAGCAGACCCAAGACACAGGTCACCGGGCACTGCTTGAAAGAAGCTGAGCAACTAGGGACACAGATAGGAGGGACTTGATCTTTTTTGTACCTTTTCAATTTTTGAACCATTTAATTGCATTATTTTAACAACAACAACAACAAAAAGTAGTTCAGGAAGTGAAAAGATAAAGTTATGGTCAGGGGCYCGAGGCATCTCTCCCTGGTTTCCTGCTCTCTTTCACAAAGCTTCTAAGTTGGATGGGAAACACTCATAGGTGCCTGTCTAGGGACTTCTGTTTTTGCTGTTGTATGTGCCAGGATCTCTTTGCCCTACCATCTGCTCCTACCTGTTGGAGACCAGATGCACGCTCTGCTCCTGAGCCCGCGTAGCACCGGGCCTGCAGCTGGGGCAGGCCAATGGGCGGCAGGTGGCCGCCAGCTCCTTGCAGAGGAAAGCAAAAATCAGATGGACAGGAAGGTGGGCTCTGCAGGGTGCTGAGGGGTGCGGTCTGGAAGAAGCTACCCAGCTGGCATCACATGGTGCGGCTGTACTCGATGCCACCCTTGGTGGAGATGCCTGACCATGGTAGGAAGCTGCAGAGAAGGCTATGAGCCTGGCGGTAGATCCTATGTGGGATGGAGCAAGGGCTCAGGTTGGCTAGTGCTGAACCCAGGTGCTGGATATAGTCCGTGGACTCTGTCAAGGAAGAATGACTTCCCCATCAGTCCTGCCTGACTGCACATGCTGACACACAGTCGGCATGCAGACGGAACACTGCACTTTGTGGGGGTCCAAGCACTCACTGAGCACTGTAGAGCACTGGAAAGCCTTGATAGAGGAGCCTTCTACTTTGAACAATAGCAATGGTAGAGGCTGATGATAAAAGCACCTTTTGGGCAAAGCCTTTAGCTAGAAGACAGGATGCCCATTCTAAGGTGATACATAGGGAATGAGGCAGGGGACAATCAGGAGACAACTGTTCCTGATCCTTCCCCAGACTCCCAAACCTTAGCACAGGAGGGACAGAGCCCTGTCCTTTCAAGATGGGGCTCAATGGTGCTGATGCCTGGATGCCCACAGGGGCCTGACTTCACATGAGCTCCGTGGCCTCCCTGGTTCTGGTCACCTCCCTCTTCCCTATTTGCTTGTCTTTGARGTGAATGAACCCTAGACTTACTCACTTGAACACCACTCCCTCCCCCCGCCACCAACCCCACAACTGCTGCGGCATCTCCTGGTCTTCCTCCTGCCAGGGCTGGACAAAGACCTAGAGGAGGCAGTGGGGTGGGGAACACTTCTGGGGTTGTGCCCCTACCATGAGGAAAATGTGAACCCAAGTGTTCAAAGAAAGCAAAAGTTTTTTTCACTCATTCTTTTCTCCTGCTAGCACAGGCTGTCTGGGCAGGGGCTTTGGTCTGCTTTGCTCACTACTGACCCAGCACACCCAGCACAGKAGGTTGCCCATCAGTGATTGTGGAGCGGATGGATGGATCTTGGGCCCAAGGGGTTAAAATCCATCCCTCCTGCCAGGCTGAAGTTGGGGACCTCCTTCCCTCACATGTGACCAGACCCATGCACAGCACACCTGATTATCATCTGAAGGCGAGCATGGAGCTGACTGACTGATTCAGCAGCCCCCAGCCAGGAAGTCATGTGTCCTCCCCCAGCAGCAAAGGATATAAGATGGTCCAGGGAGGGTGACCGCCATTGATGTAGAGGACATACGTGAAGCCATCTTTGAGGACCCCTCGGATGGAGTAGTAATAGGGCAGATA